TACAGGGTGATGCTGGGGTATACACAGGGTGATGCTGGGGTATATACAGGGTGATGCTGGGGTATACACAGGGTGATGCTGGGGTATACACAGGGTGATGCTGGGGTATATACAGGGTGATGCTGGGGTATGTACAGGGTGATGCTGGGGTATACACAGGGTGATGCTGGGGTATGTACAGGGTGATGCTGGGGTATACACAGGGTGATGCTGGGGTATATACAGTGATACTCGGGTATATACAGAGTGATACAGCTCAGTCCGGTGTGATTGGTGGTTCATAGCTGTGGTATAATTGGCTGTTCAGAGCCTTTAATGTGGGTTGTTTTTCAGGCACCCATTTAGTGGGCGTGAGATCCCGGTCTCCAATGGCTCGGGTTTCTTGGTGACGCAGGACGGCCTGATCGTGACCAATGCTCATGTGGTGGCCAACAAGAGGCGCGTGCGAGTGCGACTGGCGGACGGGGAAACATATGACGCCACTGTCCAGGATGTGGACCAAGTCTCTGACATTGCGACCATCAAAATCAATCCCATGGTGAGGGTGTGGCCCTCTCCCAGCGTTCCCCATCCTCGCTCCCCACTGGAGCTCTCTACTCTAATTCTATTCCCTCCTCTCTCCCTACTGGAGTCTCTAATCCTATTCCCTCCTCTCTCTCCACTGGAGCTCTCTACTCTAATCCTATTCCCTCTCCTCTCTCTCCACTGGAGCTCTCTACTCTAATCCTATTCCCTCTCCTCTCCTCACTAGAGTTCTCTTCTCTAATCCTATTCCCTCCTCTTCCCATTGGAGTTCTCTACTCTAATCCTATTCCCTCTTCTCCCCATTGTGTCTATGCTGGTGATCGCTCCCCCACTGGAGTTCTCTAATCCCATTCCCAGCTCTCTCCCCATTGTGATATATCGTGAACTGTGTTCAGTTCTGGGCATCACACTTCAGGAAGGACGTCAAGGTATTGGAGAGGGTGCAGAGATTTACCAGGATGGTACCAGGAATGAAGGACCTGAGTTATCAGGAGAGGTGAGAGAAGCTGGGATTATTCTCCTTGGAGCAGAGAAGGTTAAGAAGAGACTTAATTACAACAACAAGATTACATTTGTATAGCGCCTTTCACGTCGGGAGGACAGTGTACAGTATTTCAGACCCGAGGTGCTGAGGTGCTGGTGTGAGCCAATCAGGAGGGCCTCGGTCTTGTTCACATTCAACTGTAGGAAATCTGCCCTCATCCAGGACTTGATGTCCGACAGGCAGTCTGTCAGGATAGCAGTGGTCCTGGAGTTGAGGGTGGATGCAGAAAGATAGAGTTGGGTGTCATCTGCATACATATGGAGGTTGACCCCATGTCTGCGGATGATGTCACCAAGGTGGAGCATGTAGATATTAAAGAGGAGAGGGCCAAGGACAGAGTCCTGGGGGACGCCAGACGTGACAGTGCGGGGGCTGGAGGAGAAACCGTTAGACTTAATAGAAGTTTTCAAAATTATGAGGGAATTTAATAGGGTGAACAAGGAGAAACTATTTCCACTGATGGGTGGGTCGGTAACCCGAGGGCACCGATTTAAACTAGTTGTTAAAAGAAACAGAGGGGAGGAGAAATTTTTTTACACAAGTTTTTTGGATCTGGAATGCATTGCCTGAAAGGGTGATGGAAGCCAATTTGACAACTTTCAAGAGATAAGTAGATAATTATTTTGGGTGGACAGGTTTGCAGGACTATGGGGAGAGGGCAGGGGAGTGGGATTGAATTGGACAGCTCTTTTCAAAGAGCCGACACAGACACGATGGGCTGAATGGCCTCCTGTGCTGTATAATTCTATGATGCTATGATCCTGTCTGTGCTGGTGCTCGCTCCCCATTTGAACTCTCTATTCTAATCCCATTCACTGCTCTCTCCCCATCATGTCTGTGCTGTTGCTCGCTCTCTCTCTCCCCCTGTTCTTACCCAGTGGGGTTAGTTGTGGGTACAACGAGCCTGTGACTGACCCCGTGTGTTGGGACCTGCAGAGACCGCTGCCCACGCTGGGGTTGGGCCAGTCCTCAGACGTGCGTCACGGTGAGTTTGTGGTGGCCATGGGCAGCCCCTTCGCTCTGCAGAACACAATCACGTCTGGCATCGTCAGCTCAGTGCAGAGAGGCAGCCGCGAGCTCGGCATGGGTCACAGTAACATGGAGTACATCCAGACTGACGCCACCATCGATGTGAGTACAGCCAGCGTGCCCATGTCTGTGTGTGTGTGTCTGTGTGAGTGTCTGACAAGACATCTCCGACTACTTCCTCGTCTCCCTCGCCTCTCGTATCACTCTGCCCTCCTCCAAGCCCTCACGATCTTTTTGTGCCCATGGAAAAAGCTTCCCCTCCCCCAACTCCCTCACAAACGCCCTCTCATCCTCAGACCTTCTCTCCCTTTGGCCTTCCACCCACAATGATCCAGACACAGCTGTCAAGCTGCTAAACGAACACCTCTCCTCAACCTTCAGTTCCCTTGTCCACTTGAAAACCAGGTCCATCTCCAAGCCTACCCGCTTCCTCTGGTACAAAAGTCATCTCTGCTCCATCAAATCTCAAACCCAGTTGCTCAAGTGCAGATGGCACAAAACTCGCCCCACTGTTCACCGCCAGCTGTGGTTCCAGCTTCTTCATACCTACATCCACTCCCTTTCTCAAACTTAAACCACGTTATACTCACAGGACATTCTCGAGGCCAAAAACAACCCCAAAATCCTATTCTCTACGACCCATCATCTCCTCCAAGACCCCTCTCAAGCATCCTCGATCCTCACTTTGGATGCCAAGTGCGAAGAGGTCCTGGACTTCTTTATCTCTAAGATAGATAACATTTGCCTGGCTGCCATCTCCTCCTCCACCCACCCATGTCGCCTACCACCCCCACCCATACCTCCTTCATCACCCTCCCCTCCTACCACAGCTCCTACCACGGCCCCCACCCTGCACTCCTTTGCCCCCATCTCTCTTTCCTCCCTTTCCCCCACCATCACCCAGATGAAACCCACCACTTGCTGCTTTGACCCCCTGCCCACCCAGCTTTTGGTCACTCAACTCCCCCTCCTCTGCCCACTGTGGATGACACTCAAATCTACTTCTCCAGCTGTGACTCTCAGTCCACTGATGTCCTGTCAGCTTGTTTGACAGACATCAAGGCCCAGATGAGTGCAAATTTCCTGCAGCTGAATGTCAGAAAGACGGAAACCATACTCTTTGGCTCCCGTCAACGTCTTCTCTCCTGCAGGTCTGAACTCCTCAACCGCCCAGGGCTCTCCCTCAGACTCACCGAACCCATTTGCAACTTAGACGTTAGGTTCGATCCCCAGCTTTCCTCACATCCATTCCCTGACAAGGACCGCTTTCTTCCACCTCCGTCAAATTGCCCAACTCCATCAAATTGCCCACTTCTATCAGTACCTTGCAACCAATGCAGCTGAGATCCTCGCCCATGCCTTTGTCACCACTATTCCAGTGTATACCCCAGCATCACCCTGTGTATACCCCAGCATCACCCTGTACATACCCCAGCATCACCCTGTGTATACCCCAGCATCACCCTGTACATACCCCAGCATCACCCTGTATATACCCCAGCATCACCCTGTGTATACCCCAGCATCACCCTGTATATACCCCAGCATCACCCTGTGTATACCCCAGCATCACCCTGTGTATACCCCAGCATCACCCTGTGTATACCCCAGCATCACCCTGTACATACCCCAGCATCACCCTGTGTATACCCCAGCATCACCCTGTGTATACCCCAGCATCACCCTGTGTATACCCCAGCATCACCCTGTGTATACCCCAGCATCACCCTGTGTATACCCCAGCATCACCCTGTATATACCCCAGCATACCCTGTATATACCCCAGCATCACCCTGTATATACCCCAGCATCACCCTGTGTATACCCCAGCATCACCCTGTATATACCCCAGCATCACCCTGTGTATACCCCAGCATCACCCTGTATATACCCCAGCATCACCCTGTGTATACCCAGCATCACCCTGTACATACGCCCAGCATCACCCTGTGTATACCCCAGCATCACCCTGTACATACCCCAGCATCACCCTGTATATACCCCAGCATCACCCTGTGTATACCCCAGCATCACCCTGTATATACCCCAGCATCACCCTGTGTATACCCCAGCATCACCCTGTGTATACCCCAGCATCACCCTGTACATACCCCAGCATCACCCTGTGTATACCCCAGCATCACCCTGTGTATACCCCAGCATCACCCTGTGTATACCCCAGCATCACCCTGTGTATACCCCAGCATCACCCTGTGTATACCCCAGCATCACCCTGTGTATACCCCAGCATCACCCTGTGTATACCCCAGCATCGCCCTGTATATACCCCAGCATCGCCCTGTATATACCCCAGCATCACCCTGTGTATACCCCAGCATCACCCTGTGTATACCCCAGCATCACCCCGTGTATTACCCCAGTATGGCCCTGTACATACCCGGTATGGCCCTGTACGTACCCGGTATGGTCCTGTGTGTACCCGGTATGGCCCTGTGTGTACCCGGTATGGCCCTGTGTGTACCCGGTTTGGCCCTGTGTGTACCCGGTTTGGCCCTGTGTGTACCCGGTGCCGCCCTGTGTATACCCTGTGTGTACCCGGTATGGCCCTGTGTGTACCCGGTATGGCCCTGTGTATACCCGGTATGGCCCTGTGTGTACCCGGTATGGCCCTGTGTATACCCCGTGTGTACCCTGTGTGTACCCGGTGCCGCCCTGTGTGTACCCTGTGTGTACCCTGTGCCGCCCTGTGTATTATACCCTGTGTGTACCCGGTATGGCCCTGTGTATACCCTGTGTGTACCCGGTATGGCCCTGTGTATACCCTGTGTATACCCGGTATGGCCCTGTGTGTATCCGGTGTGTACCCGGTATGGCCCTGTGTATACCCGGTATGGCCCTGTGTGTACCCTGTGTGTACCCGGTGCCGCCCTGTGTGTACCCGGTGTGTACCCGGTATGGCCCTGTGTGTACCCTGTGTGTACCCGGTATGGCCCTGTGTGTACCCGGTGCCGCCCCTCAGGCCCTCTCACCTGCCCAGGATCTCTATGGAGACCACTGCGGGTCCTGTTTTCTCCACCACATCAGCGATGAAGTTGTAGCGGTGTCGCGGGCTGTCGGGCCGCACGGGTTGGGCGGCGAGGAGGGCGGGGAGCAGCCGGCGGGCAGCGGGGCCTGGGCCCCGGGGCCGCGCGTCCCCCCCCAGCTCCAGCCCCCGGCTCTGGGCCCACAGCAACGCCGACCCCAGCCCCAGCCCCAGGCCGAGCCCGAGCGCCAGGCCCCGCGCCCCCGCCCCCGCCCCGGGCTCGGCCCCCGACCCCACCCGCACCCGCACCCGCGCCCACACCCGCACCAACCGCCACAGCGCGCGGCCGCCAGGCACCACCATCACAGCAACGCGCCTGCGCACTGCTCAACACAACACAGCACCAGCAGAGCCCCAACACAGCACCAGCACAGCACCAGCACAGCCCCCACACAGCACCAACACAGCACCAGCAGAGCCCCAACACAGCACAGCAGAGCTCCAACACAGCACAGCCCCCACACAGCACCGGCACAGCAGAGCTCCAACACAGCACCGGCACAGCAGAGCTCCAACACAGCACCGGCACAGCAGAGCCCCAACACAGCACTAGCACAGCAGAGCTCCAACACAGCACCAGCAGAGCTCCAACACAGCACTAGCACAGCAGAGCCCCAACACAGCACTAGCACAGCAGAGCTCCAACACAGCACCAGCAGAGCCCCAACACAGCACCAGCACAGCAGAGCTCCAACACAGCACCGGCACAGCAGAGCTCCAACACAGCACCAGCAGAGCTCCAACACAGCACTAGCACAGCACAGCCCCAACATAGCACCAGCAGAGCCCCAACACAGCACAGCAGAGCTCCAACACAGCACCAGCAGAGCTCCAACACAGCACTAGCACAGCACAGCCCCAACATAGCACCAGCAGAGCCCCAACACAGCACAGCAGAGCTCCAACACAGCACCAGCAGAGCTCCAACACAGCACTAGCACAGCAGAGCCCCAACACAGCACTAGCACAGCAGAACTCCAACACAGCACCAGCACAGCACAGCCCCAACATAGCACCAGCAGAGCCCCAACACAGCACAGCAGAGCTCCAACACAGCACCAGCAGAGCCCCAACACAGCACTAGCACAGCAGAGCCCCAACACAGCACTAGCACAGCAGAGCTCCAACACAGCACCAGCAGAGCCCCAACACAGCACCAGCACAGCACAGCCCCAACACAGCACCGGCACAGCACTAGCACAGCAGGGCTCCAACACAGCACCAGCAGAGCTCCAACACAGCACCAGCAGAGCTCCAACACAGCACCAGCAGAGCCCCAACACAGCACCAGCACAGCCCCAACACAGCACCGGCACAGCACTAGCACAGCAGAGCTCCAACACAGCACCAGCAGAGCTCCAACACAGCACCAGCAGAGCCCCAACACAGCACCAGCACAGCACAGCCCCAACACAGCACCGGCACAGCACTAGCACAGCAGAGCTCCAACACAGCACCAGCAGAGCTCCAACACAGCACCAGCAGAGCTCCAACACAGCACCAACACAGCACAGCCCCAACACAGCACCAGCATAACACAGCCCCAACACAGCACCAGCATAGCACAACCCCAACACAGCACCAGCAGAGCTCCAACACAGCACCAGCAGAGCCCCAACACAGCACCAGCACAGCACAGCCCCAACACAGCACCGGCACAGCACTAGCACAGCAGAGCTCCAACACAGCACCAGCAGAGCTCCAACACAGCACCAGCAGAGCTCCAACACAGCACCAGCACAGCACAGCCCCAACACAGCACCAGCATAACACAGCCCCAACACAGCACCAGCATAGCACAACGCCAACACAGCACCAGCAGAGCTCCAACACAGCACCAGCACAGCACAGCCCCAACACAGCACCGGCACAGCACTAGCACAGCAGAGCTCCAACACAGCACCAGCAGAGCTCAAACACAGCACCAGCAGAGCTCCAACACAGCACCAGCACAGCCCCAACACAGCACCAGCACAGCAGAGCTCCAACACAGCACCAGCAAAGCCCCAACACAGCACCAGCACAGCAGAGCTCCAACACAGTGCCAGCACAGCACAGCCCCAACACAGCACCAGTCCCAACACAGCACCAGCACAGCCCCAATACAGCACTAGCACAGCAGAGCTCCAACACAGCACCAGCACTAGCACAGCAGAGCTCCAACACAGTGCCAGCAAAGCACAGCCCCAACACAGCACCAGCACAGCCCCAACACAGCACCAGCACAGCCCCAATATAGCACCTGCACAAACCCAACGCAGACCGAGTACAGCACCAGCACAGACGCAACACAGCACCAGCACAAACCCAATACAGCACCAGCACAGACCCAATAAAACCCCAATACAGCACCAACAAAGCCACAATACAGCCCCAATACAGGGCCAGCACAGCCCCAATACAGCACCAGCACAGATCCAACACAGCACCAGCACAGCCGCAATACAGCCCCTGCACAGACCCAAAAAACCCAATGC